AACGTAATGTTATGCATATAACTACTGTTCCCTGAAGGAAAGGAATGAGGTACAACACATGGTGGCCCCGCTGCACAGCTGGGCTCGGTGAAGAGGGGTAGAACTGAGGAGTGACGGTGATGCGACAATATTTATATGTGCAGGCGGAGCCTGACATCTGTCGTCATCACGTCACCTGCCTAAAGGCGTGATTAGAGGTGGCTTCAGCCAGGACACGCAGGGGCGTGGTTCCCATACATATGTTGTACCGAGTGAATTGACTGAAAGGGAACTCTGAGTTAGCAGGACACGTACAGCAAGGTAAATACATTTCTCAACTAGTTAATAAAAAAAACATTTTTTAAACCAAATTATACTGTTTTATTCATTTGACCTGAACTGTAAGCAGTGTCCTACTAGCCCTGTGTAAAACAAAGTGTTGTTCAAACCCCCTCAAAAAGTAYATCACTTTTGTTGAGGAAATGGTACAAAAAGTGTTTCCTTCAGTTTTTTTGGGCCTAAACTTGATGTAAAATAAAAGACATGCAGAAGTAAATAACATACGTGGAAATAAAATAAAATGTTAAACCAGCAGTTAGCTTCTCAGCTAGGTAAGTGCTAATATGCTGTTCATGGATGGGGCTGATTAAATGACTAGTCATACAGTATATTGTATTTAACACTGTGTGTGGTTCAGCATGTATGAATTATGACCCATTTACTTTCCGTATATCCACATATATCTGCACCTCTACCCTTGTGATCACAAAGACCTCAAAGCTTTTACACACACTGTTTGCATTGTTTAATTTAGTGCTTTTTTATCTTCTACTAGTAAAAATAGCATTCTAGAAATGATATAGTCATCAAAAACATTCACCTAATGTCAGTCTTAACACGCTCTCTGATGAGCAATAATGAATCAGAGTGTGTTGACTTAGAAAGCAATGTGAATCCATTTGGACCTGATACTCTCCACTCACCACTGTAGCAGGGGATGGGCCAAAGGGTCCAGTTTGTCCATCTGCTTCTTGATCTCAAGATAAGATCCCTAAAAAAAAAAAAATACATGAGCAGATGCTGCTCTTTGATGTTTTTCCCCCCAAATCAAAGCAGTAAGTAGCCAAATTCCAATTTATTTGTGTGGACTAATTAAATAGTGCTGATTGCAYGATTGTCTAGATGCATTTCATCTACAAGGGAAAAAAATCAGTCAATCAGTCGACTCTTCACCGGGCTCGTCCCCTCCAAAATCCCTCTTGTACCTGAGTCATTTCACGGATGGACATGACGCTATCCAACGCTTTCTGCAGTCTTTCATAATTCTTCTTCTGTGTTCATCCGTTGAGCCAAATGTATGCAGGGAGAAAGGGAACAACATAATGGTGTCTAAAATCATCTCAAGGAGTAGAATTTTGCAGTGCTTTAGTTTTTGTTAGACATTAATATTTACTTAAAATAGCATATGTTTATGTGGAAAATCATTAAAAATAATCTTATGGAATACAAAGCCCGTTTCTTAAATTAATAATAAAAAAATATATAATAGCATCAAATTTAATAGTGTTTTTTTCATTATTCTAATTCCAGGGGAGGATGCTGACCTTTGGGTTGAACGCAAGAGTCTTGGGATCATTTGGATCAACAACTGATGGGTAGGGCTCAAAAATGATGCTCTTACGGGGAGACTCGAGTGCAGCTCGACACATAGCCACAAGTAGGTCCACCACCTAGAAAGAGTTGTACAAAAGTCCTTTTGATTCACTTGAAAAATTGCTCTAAATAATAATAATAATAATAATAATAATAATAATAATAATAATAATAATAATGTAAGGTGGAGAATTTATTGTAATGTGTGTTGAAGGTTATTTTTAATTGTTTGTTTTTAATTCAATCTACAGAATAATCAAATACATTTTGGAGAAATCTTTTTGAACAATCAGACATAATGAAAAACAATCTCAACCACTGCTGCATATTTCCAGTTGTTGTCACCTCCGCTCCTGTGGCCACTTCCTCTGCAGCTCCAGACATCACACCCAGAGTGTAGAAGGAGAACACACACAACTCCCTGGTGCACACAGCAGGCTGCATGAAGACACACCRCACACAGGAAACCGTTCACACTCTCTTTTCCTCCAGTTTGTTCAAGATTAGAAAATCCAATAAACAAAATAATATTACTTACAGAGAAAGTGCATTACTTTAAAGACTTACCTAATATTGTAAATAAATATAAAAATCTATTTTAGTGATAGTATAAATGTGTGTCTTTTTTTCTGTCTTTGATACCTTCAGCATGGATCCATTCTGAAAGACGTGCTGTTCGTCACAGACCACGCAGTACTCATTAAGTGTGGGGATCCTCTGCTCTGAGTACTTCATTATCTGTTAGGAGAAAAACACAGTGAAGTTTGGGAATTACAGCTCGCAGCTGCTGCACTGCAATGAACAGGAGCAAAGAMAGCTTAGATACAAGCAAAGAGTGCAGAGCTACAATTCGTCGCAGACATTTCAGATAATTAATTCTCCTATGTGGSCAGCACAGAAAAAGTCATTGGTTAGGAACAAGAACTAAAGTACTTTTATAAATGACATTTATAAGAAGAAGCAGGATGTTTTTACTGCTTCAGACTCGTGTCTTAATCACGGTTCAGTGACCCAGATTAATAAATGTATGAACCCACATCACATTAAGGTCTAACCTGAACTAAGAAGCCGTACTCCAGTGTGGGGATGTTCTTGCAGTGGCCACCCGCCTGGGATGAGAAAAACAATTCAATCAGCTGCCTCGTGGTAATCTGCGCTGGGGCCCTGGCCGCCGGGACAGCCACAGTCTGATGAGTCAAGTGAAGACAAAGCATTATGGGAAAGGGCGCACCAGCCATCTTTGGGTGAGGATGGGGAAAAGGCACGGTGACAAGCGGGACAAGGGTTCAAAGAGGATTACAGTGGAGTGAAATCTATGTATTTGTCAAACAGAACAGTGTGAAATTCACAAGAATATTAGAACTATATTAGACCTATGAATATATGAGGCTCTGAGATGCGACATAAACACTGTAATGTGAAAGATGAGTTGTGTCAGGTGGGCACAGATTGAATTTCAAACTGAATATCATTCAGTATTTGGGAGATGACAGATCCAGACTGGTTCTGACCTGGCTATTCGGTGGATAGCTGAAGAGCTCCCCTTTGGGGTTCTTCATCGTACACGAGATGGAACGGTTCATCAGGCGGGTCACTCTCAGCTCAGGAACACTGAGCTTCCCTTTAAGAACCGTGTCTTGGATCAAAGGAAAGCTTGGAGACCTAGAAAAACATTAAAACACAAAACTAAACTACTTTGACGGAAATAAAAAGTCTCATCATCATCACCATTGTTCAAGCAGTTATGATATAAATATAAAGACTAGGACTAAAAGCAGAATAATAAAACCTCAGATCTGTTGGGGGGGGGGGGTTGATATATAAATAAAATTCTGGCAATTTTCAGGTTATAATCCATGCTTTTGTTTATTTCCTTTACTATTAGACACTAGAAATACAACTGAATTCATGTCAGACAGCAGCTCCAGTCACTACCAGTTAGAGTCCTAGAAATCAGTGTTCACTTCCACCATTACTTTCAGTGCACTATCCATGTAGCCAGTCGACATAAAACTCCTGACAAGTCATTAGGATGTCAAAACAAACCTCGTTAGTACAGCTGACCACCATCAAGAGAGCCAGGATTCAGTCCCTGTGCAGTCATACCTGTCAAAGCATCCAAGACTAAGACAGGGGTTGGGCAGAGTCTTCCGCTCCCATGGGAACTTTTGTCAGGTTTCGAGTTTAACTCAGCCTGCTGTGTGCTGGGCCAGAGTTTCCTTCTTCCTGCTTCCTTCTTCACAATTTGTGTTTTTGTAACCAAGCTTTTGCGAGGAATTGCTTTACTACCCTGTTATTGTAATTTCCTGCATACTTTGTAAAACTTTACATGTAAATAAAAGTGTAACTGCTAACTCATTTATAGTTAATAGGTAAATTTATCAGTAATCTGATATCTGTAATCATGAATAAAAAAAATACCAGCTATGGATAAAGCGAACTACAGCTTTTTATTTATTACTTGTAAAAAGTGAATAAATTTGATTTTTCGATATATACTGACCCAAATGGCTATATCATGAATTAGATATAAAAATGCCAGCCAATAATAAAAAAGTGAATACACATTAAATCATTTTTAAAGTGGAAAATCAAACTGTCAGAGTTTACTCTGCATTGCAGGGCTGGTTAACGACTGCAAAGATCAGGGATCCATGATTAGTTGTAACATTAGACTTTATTTAATAAAAATATATTTTAACTGTAAAATAGTTAATAATTGTATGATGCAAACCTGATAGCTGCAGATCCTTTTCCAGCTATTGAGTGTGAATATTATAATGAAGAGC